AGGGCCGCCCCGCAAGGGGATGAAGGTCTAGGAGTGCCAAGGTTAGGCACCCAAGGAGGTCGACCACCCCTCCTCAAAGWGTACGTTAAGCTTYTGGTGGTCTGCCTAAAGATGACATCAGTTCTCCCAAAAATCTTACAGGCGAAAATGACGGGCATGTCCCTAACGTAAACCTGCCAAGCGTAGGCAAGGCTAAGCCTGTTTTGAACCGTAACAGGCTCCCCCACTCAATTCATTGTCGTCCTTGACAATGATTCCTTCCGTGAATGGGTGTTTGAGTCCCGCGCCATCCACTCTTCGGCCAGTTCCAGGGCTCGCCTGGCCAACTCGGGTCTTGCCTATATTGGTGTCTATTTATGGGGACGGAACCATTTCACCATGCCGGCCTGCTTGGACTTCACCCCCAGTGTCAAGGTTACTCAAACCGCGCAATGGCTATGCCGTTGAACTGTGAAAGAAGGGCCCTCAAAGAAATATGTGTGGTGCTTCGCGGAGGTCCGCCCCATGTATCCTCTTACCTCAAGGCTCAACCGTCTTCTTGGTAGCCTTTCAGTGATGCTACCGAACACGTTGATAGGTCTACTCCTGCTGTTGGCGATGGATGCTGGGTGTACCCTTTCACCATGCTGGTCTGCAGTCTTCACCTCGCCCTATGTGGGTTACTCAAACCTAGACATGGCTTATGCTCTCACGGCCCTCGAAACTACGCTTCACCTCACTGGTTCGGGCTACATGTTCGCTCCGAGGGGGCCCCACTACTGCTGCCTCAAGGAGATCTGACCGCTTCAAACGCGAGTGTGGCAACTTTTACCCATGAGTTGCCGAACATGCACTCGCCTTGTGATGAGCCTCTGCTACTGCAAGTGTTCCACCTGAAAACTGAGCATGTCCACCTGATACTTTGCCGGTGTAGGGCCGCCATGCTCCAATGGCTAGCGCAACCACATTCCTAACAAGGCCCACGCATCTGCCCCCGCATGAGGACAACAACCAATGCGTCTGCAACCGCAAGGGAAGCTGTTTTAGGGTCATTGGAATGGGAACGCGAACATTGAACGGCCTCTTGCTAGGCCTGATGAACAATCTGCTCGAGTAGTGTACCCACAATCCTGTCAAGGCTCACGCGTCTACCACCGCATGAGGACAACGACCATCGCGTCGGCAACCACAAGGGAAGCTGTTTTAATGTCATTGGAATGGGGACAYGAACTATGAAATGGCCTCTTGCCAGGCCTGATCTGAATTCTGCTCGATCTTGGGTGGAGGTGACTAGGGACCGCACCCCACAAAATGCTGCTTGTCGAAATGACCGCTTCAACTGGCTCTGGGCTAATCTGTTGAAAACCAACTGCGGCTGCAATTGGCCAACTTGCTCTAATACCAACTATCACGGGGGTAGTTCTACAGCGGAAGAAACCCGTGTGGCATCCTGGCCAAGGCAGGCCAGGACAAGCCTTTATGCGCTTAGAGGCTAGGAATTGCCTGATGGGATGGCTCCACCAAAGTCAGTAGCATTGGATCATGACCTCAAGTCCAATGGCCGGGGCACTCTCCTGGCTCAGACCGGTCCATGGGAGGCGCCGCTTACGTGCTAAAGGGGGACAACCATAATGGAAGGC